ATTTTGTTCTTCTTTACACCCCCAAAATGCAATCAATGCAAAAATTTTTGACGCCGTTTCAGTGCCAAATTTTGGTGTTGTTTCGGCACCAAATGGACTGACTAGCCCAGTGGCAAATTTTGGTGTCGAAAGGTTTCGGGCCGGAACGGTGTCGAAACGGTGCCGGAACAGCGCCAAATTTTTTCGATGCCGAAAGGGCGCCGAATTATAATTGTAAAGCACTTATGAAATTTGGAACAATCAAGCGTATAACTTATTGGAGACTATGATACCTCTTACATTACATTTCTTTATTTCAAAACATTTTGACACAGTTTCTTATTGATCACTTAAAAAATTTGCTCAAAATACTTCATTTTAACATAGCAATTAAACTTGCTCTATAGCTCTAACTGCAATACATTCTTAGTTCTCTTAAATAAAACTTAAAAACTGTACATATATTTGTTGCAAAGTTTAGTCAATTTCTTTATTGTAACCACAAAAATATAATCACTATTAAAAATTGACCTCTTAAGCAGCTGGTATTTTTTTAAATAGAATCTGATCAATTTTATATCTAAATTTATATTCACTTTTAAACTTGTGAAGTATGAAGTTAATTATTAACGATGTCTGAATACAATCAGAAAATAACTCAGTTTATCTTGCTGATATTATCCTTGGTCTCATAATAATATGAATTATTAAGTGTATTAAGTATGTATGTCTATGTATCAAAGTGTATGAATCAGACATTACCTCACTAGACGTTATTAACTCTTTCTTTGCGGAATTTCTCATTTTTTCACATAGCTAGTTTGCGGAATTAATTTAGAAGATTTTCATAATTTCGACATATAAACTTTGAATGACCATAACTTTGTTATTAGTCCATATTTTTATTTGAAATTTTCACTGAGTATACATCACATGACATTCTATCAAAATACAGTAAGTTTATAACTATAGCTGTAAGTTATCATGCATGAATGAATATGATTATAAAGGAATAAAAATATTACGAAAAATTCTTATGTTAATTCATTTACAAGACACCACCATACTATTGGCTTTCCATTATAAGACCATGTAGTGAAGTTATAGAGTGTTTAGTTATGTTGGTATATTATCCTATTAGTTGCAGCAATGTAATCTCTATGATTATGATATATTTCATGGCATACAACTGCATATAATGGCACCATACATCGTTTCTCATTTTTTCACAAAACTAGTTTGCGGAATTAATATTGAAGATTTTCGTAATTTCAACTTATAAACTTTCAATGAGCACAACCTTATTATTATTCCATGTTTTTACATGAAATTTTCTCAGATTATACATCAAATGACATTCTATTGAAAAACAGTAATTTTATAACTGTAACTGTAAGTTGTCATGCATGAATGAATAATATTTCGGCATAGTTATTTGTTTCATCAGCAATGTTGAACTAGATTGTCTGGCCAAAATATTTTGAAAAAATCCACTGGTTCGTAATCTGCAGTCCTATCCATTCAACATCATTGGGTTGCATTAGCTGATATTGCTGCCAATCCCATATGTACCGGTTCGCTGGTCCTGGCTGTGCGGCTGCAGCATCTCCCCTAACATCTGGGGCTTGTGCACCAGCTCTATTGCCTTGATCTTGCACTGCAAACAATTATGATCATTAGCCTACATGTATGAACACAAATATGTAACATAAAGGCCTGTAAACTAACAGCAGCTTGCAGATATGCAAACTGTCAATGTCTATGTCAATAATCTCAAAAGGCTAAAGAGCCCATGTGATATTCATACCCCCCCTCCCAGAACGATAAATCACTACTGTACTTATTTTGTAAAAATATTTCATGAAAATCGAAAATTACCTTGATTACCATCATCATCACTCGATAAAATTTCACTTGCATCCGAATCAGAGTCCAAAAATAGAGCTTCAACATCTTCCTCATTGTCCCTGAATCTCCTGTCAGCCATTTTTAAAAGCCACTCGAGTTGTAAACATATAAACACATAAATATCTCCTAAATAAACTCTATGTTCATCAAATTTGGTAAATTCTGATTCGAAAATCTATCCCATAATAACCAGAAACGGAAATCAACATAATACTGTACTAGGGTGACATCTATGATACTTTGAAAAAGTTAAATTCAATTTTCGACTTTAGTCGAAATTCGCAAAGTACCGATAATTCGACTAAAGTCGAAAAACGCAAAGAAAGAGTTAAGATAATTCAAAGAGGGGGGGGGGGGGGCGCATAATTTGAAATGCAAATTAAAGTAAAGAGGAGTAAGTTATAAACCTTGGAGGTGATGACATTTGGAGAAAAGTTTACACCAGTGATAACAAGCGGTACTAACTCACCGGGGCGTATCGAAACCAAAACGCCCCGCAAAACTGTTAATTTGAATTTCAAACCTACCCTTTCTTTGGAAAATCAATGATTGTGAGTCTCACAGTACACCGTTTTTCTTCAAACTTGTTCCATTAAAACCTTCACAGATATACCTTTCATTCGAAACATTGTTTTTGAGTACAGAGTCAGTCGTTTTAGCGGCGTTTTGGTCCCCAGATGTGAGAAGTTGCAAATCTTCAGAGATTTCAATCAAAAGCCTCGATATATCGCCAGTTCTTTTATCATTCTCCGCTATATTTTGCAGAATGACTCCCATTACAACCCTCCATCTCTGCATCAACATATTTATTACATTAAACGCAGCAATTTCCAAAAGTCCTACGCATCTGTTCGAAATTGATCAAAACGCCCCGTTCTCTTCCAAAATGCCCCGTTGGATCCGACACCTTATCTAGATACTGACTGGACTGCGGGGCGTTTTGGAAGACAACGGGGCGTTTTGGTCAATTTCGAACAGTTGCGTAGGATTTTTCAAAATTGCTGCTTTTCATGTAATAAATATGTTGATGCAGCGATGGAGGGTTGTAATGCGAGTCCTTGCGCAGAATATGGGAGAGGGTGATAGAAGAACTGGCGAGAATTGTGGTTGAAATCTCTGAGGATTTGCAACTTCTCACATCTGGAGACCAAAACGCCGCTAAAACGAGGGACTTTGTAAACAAAAGCAATATCTCGACTGAATGGTATTTCTGTGAAGGTTTTAATGGAACAAGTTTGAAGAAAAACGGTGTAGTGTGAGACTCACAATCATTGATTTTCCAAAGACAGGGAAGATTTGAAATTCAAATTAATGGTTTTGCGGGGCGTTTTGGTTTCAATACGCCCCGTCGAGTTAGTACCGCATGGATAATGAAGGGCATTTTTCTTTTCAATATTGCCACTATACTATTATTTAAAATCATTGCACAAAAACATGTTTTTTCACAGGGGCTGATTAACCTTCATCTTTTTACGCATATTCTATCATCTATCTAAACTTGACTTATTTTTTTAGCACCAATGATATTTAATATTGCCAAACACACCTTTTTCATATAGATGTGCTAGATAGAGATTTAAAGACAATTTTTCTCTATTAAATTACTGCCATCTTTTTTAGTCGCAGTTATGTACTTGTGATACAAATTCTGGAATCAGTGCCCTTTCAAAATTTAACTAAATAGAATGTTAACTTTTTGAAAGGCCATTTTTAATGTTACATAATCAAGAGTCATTACTCACTCATGTTTACATAAAAATATAATTTATAACTAGTATATTGAACATTAAATATATATATATTGTTCCATTAAAACCTTCACAGATATACCTTTCATTCGAAACATTGTTTTTGAGTACAGAGTCAGTCGTTTTAGCGGCGTTTTGGTCCCCAGATGTGAGAAGTTGCAAATCTTCAGAGATTTCAATCAAAAGCCTCGATATATCGCCAGTTCTTTTATCATTCTCCGCTATATTTTGCAGAATGACTCCCATTACAACCCTCCATCTCTGCATCAACATATTTATTACATTAAACGCAGCAATTTCCAAAAGTCCTACGCATCTGTTCGAAATTGATCAAAACGCCCCGTTCTCTTCCAAAATGCCCCGTTGGATCCGACACCTTATCTAGATACTGACTGGACTGCGGGGCGTTTTGGAAGACAACGGGGCGTTTTGGTCAATTTCGAACAGTTGCGTAGGATTTTTCAAAATTGCTGCGTTTCATGTAATAAATATGTTGATGCAGCGATGGAGGGTTGTAATGCGAGTCCTTGCGCAGAATATGGGAGAGGGTGATAGAAGAACTGGCGAGAATTGTGGTTGAAATCTCTGAGGATTTGCAACTTCTCACATCTGGAGACCAAAACGCCGCTAAAACGAGGGACTTTGTAAACAAAAGCAATATCTCGACTGAATGGTATTTCTGTGAAGGTTTTAATGGAACAAGTTTGAAGAAAAACGGTGTAGTGTGAGACTCACAATCATTGATTTTCCAAAGACAGGGAAGATTTGAAATTCAAATTAATGGTTTTGCGGGGCGTTTTGGTTTCAATACGCCCCGTCGAGTTAGTACCGCATGGATAATGAAGGGCATTTTTCTTTTCAATATTGCCACTATACTATTATTTAAAATCATTGCACAAAAACATGTTTTTTCACAGGGGCTGATTAACCTTCATCTTTTTACGCATATTCTATCATCTATCTAAACTTGACTTATTTTTTTAGCACCAATGATATTTAATATTGCCAAACACACCTTTTTCATATAGATGTGCTAGATAGAGATTTAAAGACAATTTTTCTCTATTAAATTACTGCCATCTTTTTTAGTCGCAGTTATGTACTTGTGATACAAATTCTGGAATCAGTGCCCTTTCAAAATTTAACTAAATAGAATGTTAACTTTTTGAAAGGCCATTTTTAATGTTACATAATCAAGAGTCATTACTCACTCATGTTTACATAAAAATATAATTTATAACTAGTATATTGAACATTATACATGCACTTCATCCTTGAATGATAACAATAACTCTTAGTTTTAGAACAATTAGTTCAGAACTTCTCAGACAGTCCTCGTGCATATCACTGTATTTTTACTTTCAGCTGAGACCACGAAGACTTCAGATGTAGTAGTGAAAGCTCAGGTGTTAGCTGGAGGCAGAGGAAAAGGAACATTCAGCAGTGGCCTAAAGGGAGGTGTAAAAATTGTATTTTCGTAAGTATTGATTCACGAAATGGAAATGTATTTGATGTACAAGGGGTGTTCCAAAATTTTGTAGTATTTGTTTTAAATGCACAATATGTGAAATATGAGTCTGGAAACTGGATATTTAGTCTGAAATATAGTTTTATAACTAAAGATAGGTTAAGCATAACATTTACATTTATAAAAACACATGAAATAAAATAGATTCAGAGCTACTCATCTTATGTTAAATCCTGTTGGGCAAATGTCAAGGCTCTGGGGCGATCTGGAAACCAAAAATGGGGGATTATTTCAATCTGATAAATCATTTCTATGCTCGGCCCCCTAAAACCAAAAGTGGGCCCAAATTTGGAATAATTAAGGCCAGTTTTCTTTATCATTTGGCCTAAAATTAGAAAAAGGCCTTATAAGGTCCATTTATGCCCAGAAAGGCCCACTTATTGGGGCCTTAATAATTCTTTGGGCTCAATTTTTTTTTATATTTTATTTTTGTGTACATCTGATCGATGTTTGCATTCTTTTTTCATAGATCTGATGAGTGCCGAACAGTTGCTGAGAAGATGATTGGTCATAAGATCTTCACGAAGCAGACAGGGGAGGCAGGACGCGACTGTAATGATGTCATGGTTTGTGAAAGACTTTACTCTAGGAGAGAGTATTATTTTGCTCTTACCATGGAGAGAGCTTTTGGGGTAGGAAATTTCAGAATTAGTTGACTTTGAAACTAAAATAAGAAATTAGCAGAATTAATGGTAGATTATAGTTAAATACAATATGATTAAACAAATTGGGTTAAATATAAAATTAGAATACAAAATGAGTAAAATATAAAATTGAAATATAAATTGAGTAATAAGTATGAAATAAGAAATCAAAATTGTTGTAATGTTAAAATAGAAAGTGAAATATGAAATTAGTTGAAAATTAAACTGTTGACCTTCCCAGAGGTCGACAGATCAACACACATGCATTAATATGTGCACTTGTTTCAGGGCCCAGTGATGATTGCAAGTTCTCAAGGTGGTGTAAACATTGAGGAAGTAGCACAGGAAACACCTGAACTGCTTATGAAAGAACCCATAGATATCAAACAAGGTCAGTGGAATACAGGGTGTCCCAGAACTCATGAGATTTTATACAAGCCTGAGTAATGTCAAGAATTTCTGCATCAACAACCAATGGGGGTTTTCTTCAGTCGTTTTCACCATAATCAGCTGTTGTTTTGTAATTTCTGAATGCTCTAATGAAACTTACCAATGATTTTGCCTGTTAATTTCAATCATTTTAGCTGTTGTTTAAAATTCTAATTAACCATGAGAGTGAATAAACAAACTACAAGAATGTGTAGAATCAATATTTCAGAATTCAGTGTAGGTGATATTTATAAATATGTATTTTTATATTTCTGAATCTTGTTCTCCAAGATTTAGTGTTAACTTCATATGAAGTAGAAATTTTTTTTACTTAACCAATTGTTACACTTATGTTAGCATTTTGAAGTGGTGGCTTCCACTTTATAAAATTCATCGTGATTTTACAGGAATTCTCAGATTTTACACTTTGGTTGATAACAGCCCAACTCACAAATGCCCAACTTTTTCAGAAATTATTTTGAAAAATCCTGGTGATACCGAGATTATGAAATAATTTCAAGAATCTTGATAATACTAATAATAAGATTATGTTATTTTTTCTTATACAGGTATCCAAAGAGAGCAAGCAGTTAAAGTTGCAACATTTATGGGCTTCCCAGCAAACTGTATAGAAGAAGTAAGTTCAGTTAATTCCAGGCACTATATTGTATTGAGACAGAGGGCCTCGTTTTATTACTCTCATGTCTCAGAAAAGCAAACCCAAGGTTTAACACAATTTTAGTACAGTAAAACCTGTGTAAGTGTAACACCCATGATTGCACTTAAAAGTGTTAAGTTAGGTATTCTACTTAAATAGAGGTTCAATTAACCTAAATCAGATGACTGAAATGTTCCATTTAAAGACACCTTCCTAAAGTGCTTGAAAAAATTGCAAACTCTTACTCTTGCATGTTTGAGATGGAGATGTGATGTCGCATAATATATGTACTTGTATTCATATATGTAGAATTACATATACTGAGTCACTTATACAACCCAGAATACCATTAGGATTTAATCAAGTTTGTAACTGAGCTTCCTCGTAAATAACCTCACATCTGAAAAACAATGGGTAATCTGAACTTAGATCGCATGAATTTTGCCCAGTTAAATTTTAGATGGTTAAATGCAAGACATGATTGGCAATAGATGGCTTCAGAGGTAAAGTCAGATTCAATATTAATTGACTATTATTTCAATAATTTCCAAAATCTCATGCAAAAAGATAATATGAATTGAGAATTATGCGAGTCACCCATGAGAAAACATTTTACATGGAGAAACGTTTCTCTGACAGTCCCAAATTTTCAAACGTTTTTCCCGTATTGACTTTTTTTAAAACTATGAAGAAATGTCATGTATCTCTGTTTTTCAGACCATGAGGCTGTATGATGTATTTATAAAACATGACTTTTACACCATTGACTTCTATGTAAAACTATGAAGAAATGTCATGTATCTCTGTGTTTCAGACTGCAGACTACGTCATGAGGCTGTATGATATATTTATAAAACATGACTTTTACACCATTGACTTCTATGTAAAAATATGAAGAAATGTCATGTATCTCTGTTTTTCAGACTGCAGACTACATCATGAGGCTGTATGATATATTTATAAAACATGACTTTTACACCATTGACTTCTATGTAAAAATATGAAGAAATGTCATGTATCTCTGTTTTTCAGACTGCAGACTACATCATGAGGCTGTATGATATATTTATAAAACATGATGCAACACTTATAGAAATTAACCCAATAGCTGAAGATGCTTCAGGAAAAGGTAGGGAGCTTATATCGCATGACTTTTATAATTGCCACCCTCAAAGATGGTATATTGATCTATTAAGTCCTTGCTCAAAAGGAATTTTCAAGATAATTATTCAATTCAAAATGGCCTCCCTTTTTCAGAAAAAATATTATTATGGATAACTTATACACCCATTATCAGATTTGGTGCAGGCTATCACTTTTTCGGCGGCCTTAAAGGCCTGTCCAATTCTTAATATGGCCTCACATCACAAAATCAAGTGCACATTTTGCCAGAGTGAGACAATACAACTTATGTTTTCAACATTTCAACATTTTATTTTAAAATGAAAAAAGCCATTTAGTAAAATGATGGGTTCAGTGGAATTTGCTACTGAAGGGAGTTACTTACTGTGTTTTTATATTATTAAACTTCATAATTTCTTGTTCTTCAGTGTTCTGTATGGACTGTAAGATCAATTTTGATGACAATGCAGAGTACAGACAAAAGGAGATCTTTGAGCTTCAAGATTGGTCCCAAGAAGATCCCAGAGATGTTAGGGCATCTAAAGCTAATTTAAACTATATTGGTCTAGATGGCAGTATAGGATGTCTAGGTAAGAAATATTAGGGCATCTAAAACTAACTTAACCTCTTGAATCCCAGGCTCTAAAATTGGCATGAAACCAGAGAATTTTTCATTTTTTGCCACCTTTTGACATTTTATTACATACCTATACAACTTTAGATGCTCAGCTTAGTAAAATTGGACGGCAGAGATCATTTCTACACGTTTTAAAACAATTTTTGTGTAAATTGGGTGAAAATTGTTCAAATGAGAGCAATTTTTGTGAAAAATTTTGTGACTGATTTTCTCGTCCCTCTGGGCACCAGTCCTATTTCATTTGTGACGGATATATCCGTCACTCTGGGTATTCAAGAGGTTAAACTGTATTGGTCTAGATGGCAGTATAGGATGTCTAGGTAAGATATGTTAGGGCATCTAAAGCTAACTTAAACTATATTGGTCTAGATGGCAGTATAGGATGTCTAGGTAAGATATGTTAGAGCGTCTAAAACTAACTTAAACTATATTGGTCTAGATGGCAGTATAGGATGTCTAGGTAAGATATGTTAGAGCGTCTAAAGCTAATTTAAACTATATTGGTCTAGATGGCAGTATAGGATGTCTAGGTAAGAGATGTTAGGGCATCTAAAGCTAATTTAAACTATATTGGTCTAGATGGCAGTATAGGATGTCTAGGTAAGAGATGTTAGGGCATCTAAAGCTAACTTACACTATATTGGTTTAGGTGGCATATGATGTGGAAATCAAACTGCTCTCAAAATGATTTATTATCAAAATGATATATTATTTCATATTTCAGTAAATGGTGCTGGTCTAGCCATGTCTACCATGGATATAATCAAACTTCACGGCGGAGAACCTGCTAACTTTTTGGATGTGGGTGGTGGTGCCACTGTAGAACAAGTCAAAGAAGCTTTCTCTCTGATCACATCAGATAGTAAGGTAAATGTTGTTTTCACCAGTTTTTAAATCTATTCTATAAATGTTTGCTAAGCGTTCGTGTTATTTTGTGTCATTTGGTATTATTAGCTAATTCGTCAGAGTGGAGCTTTTGGACTTAATATCAAAGTCTCTTGACTTTCCGAGTCAACTTATCACTACAAACAAATCAACCAAAGTACAGTACACTTAGGGATTGGGTCCAACTTGCAACAGTTCTGGGAGAACAGAGTTCATTATGTTAAAGATTTAGCTTGTAAAAATGTTGATTGATTTAGTCAGTGGAAACAGATTAACTGCTGCTCCAATATTTAAATGTTTCCTAATTGGTTCATATTTTAGGTCCATGCTATCCTAGTTAACATATTTGGAGGGATTTATGAGGTGTGATGTCATTGCTAAAGGAATTATATGTTGTATTATATTTTAGGTCCATGCAATCCTAGTTAACATATTTGGAGGGATTATGAGGTGTGATGTCATTGCTAAAGGAATTATATGTTGTATTATATTTTAGGTCCATGCTATCCTAGTTAACATATTTGGAGGGATTATGAGGTGTGATGTCATTGCTAAAGGAATTATATGTTGTATTATATTTTAGGTCCATGCTATCCTAGTTAACATATTTGGAGGGATTATGAGGTGTGATGTCATTGCTAAAGGAATTATAGCTGCTGCACAGGAATTGAAACTTAGGATACCTATTGTAGTAAGATTGCAAGGTAAGGCAGTCAAAAATAATCAAACATAATCCATGGCATAATTTTTAGACTTTGCCATTTTCTATGGAGCTTTAGTATTTTAATCAATAGAACATTTACATTAAAAATTCTCCATTTCTGAATGTTTCGAAACAACAGTCATAAAGAAGTTTTAATTGTATTTTCGTTCTCATATGTTACTTTTTTTGTTATAGCCATCATATATGGATATTCAAGCATGTCATAGTAACCCCTTTCACGCGTCATTTACACCCCTAGTCATATTGTGAAGCATCATGGTTTTTAATGAATGCATTCTTACCATTTGATATATCTAGGTACTCGGGTGGAAGATGCCAAGGCCCTCATAGCTGCCAGCGATCTGAAGATTTTGGCCTGTGACAATCTAGACGAGGCTGCTAAAATGGTAACATTTTAATAAATCTGGTAAAGAAATACAAACCCAGTGTACAAGTGTCTCTTGTTGCTAATGTGTCTTTAAAAAAGAAGCATTCCATCTAAGAGGGTAAAATATCCCAGAATTCATAGATGAATCTACAGAATAAAAATGTCCCACAATTCATAAATGAACCTATCTCTATGTATTGAACCTCTAATGGTTCAACTTTGCATAGAAATAGCTGCATCTAAGATGCAGATGTAACTAATTTGCAGAGTGCAGTTACCAGTGTATATGTATTACTACAATTGGTCGTTATGTTTATTTAAGGAGCTCTTGTCTTAGGTGGTGAAAATTGGATGAGCGAATCTTTTTTTCAAGCAATTGAGATGAATGCTTGGATTTGCAACTCTGATGATTCTATTTTCCAAATATACCTGAAAGTCCATAACCATCTCAGCTAAATTTACATTTTTTTACATACATTTTATAATTACTTGTTAGAAACAAATGGAAATAGTATAAATTAAAATGCATATAATCAACTCTCATACTGTGTGCATTTCAGGTGGTAAAACTATCCGACATCGTTGGTCTAGCCAGAGAGGCATCTCTTGACGTGAAGTTTGAAATACCCCTATAGACACTCCCAACCACTAGGATAATACATCTCAACAAATTCATCCCTAAATCTGGCTCCCAAATAACAAATGGTCACTCGCAAAGAAAATTGCCAAATATTTATTTATTGTAAAAAGTATTCCAAAATATTGAAAATTTTGGACGATGCACAGTAAATATGCACCCTGTATAAAAGAAACACTGAGTATTGTAAGTTGTAACCCAGTTTTATTTTGCAGCCATTGCATTTAAAAAAATTTCGATTGAAAATGAATTGTATATCTCAAAATTGACTCTGGATTTATTAGATAACATTTGCACAACAAAATTGTCAAATTAAATGCCGTGAAATGAAAATGGGTTACAGTATAGAATATAACAAATATGAAATAATAGTAAGAAATGAGAATTTGTTAATTTAAAATGATGTTATATTTCGCTCTCCACACAATACAAATAAACAATCTGTTGCTCTGTATACATACATAACATTCAGAAGCAGTATGAAATAAGGAATATGTGTCTTACTGTTAACCTAGAAAAGTTTGCATGATTAAATAATTTGTTAAAATGAACTATAGGATCGAGTTTCTGTACTACAGGAGTTTATGTACTACAGAAGTTTCTGTATTATAGGAGGACCCTGTAGTGTATTTGACTATCTTTATTCACTGTTATTATTTTATCATTCATATGTTCTATGTTTACAGTAAGCGTAATTACATGTATATATACAGGTAACTACATTATCCACGTAACTTTATATAACAATACTATGGGTTTGAAGTACAGTGATTCATAATTTGATTTTTAGAAACTCGGAACTTTTTGCTGCCATCTTTTGTCACATTTTCTTTTTAAATTGCATTAAAAACATATTTCCTGTAAGCAACTAATATAAATGCAAACAAGTAATTTAACTATGTTTCCCCATCTTATGTTACTAGTCAATCTTTTATTTCTTTAAATGTACATGTTTATCCCATTGTGGGTATTCCATAAATTATGTTGCCATATTTTTATCGTACGGTTAAGCTACATTAGAAGCTCGGATATATATTTATTTTATTGACAGCTCTGCAGGGATTTCACAAGTGCCCGTTTTTACAAAACACCCCAATTTTGAGAAATTTTGCCATACTTTTCATGTTAAAAGTACAATTTGCAATAATTTTATAGTTTTTTCTCATCAATTTGCTTATTGTCAAAAATGCTATTGAATTGAAACCCCCCGTGGTTAGAATTAATGACAATAAAATTTATGTGAATATGTAGAGACATGATACAGTACTAAACATATAGGTTTGATTGATTTGAATTGAAGTGATATATAGCTCTATAAAGTGACTGTTAAATAAATGTATATAGTAGGACTTTGAAATATGTCAGGCATACATTGTATGTAAGCCCGTGTTAAATAAATGTTTTAATAACATTAAAATCAACGAATTTGTATTTTATTTCAAATCCAAAGGAATTGCGATGACAGTCGGTAAAAAGATATATATATAGATGTATATTCTGGATTTTGAAGCCCTGTGATCGGAGGATGGCCAATATCAGGGGCGATGTATCCATGGTTCAATAATAATCAGGCTTTAAAACATGCGGCAAAACTTTTGTTATCCCCAAACACTGGTCAGGAACATAGAGATGTACGAATAGCCTAACATAATGCCGCTAAATATATCTTGATTTCACAATAATGAGTCGCGATCTGGGGCCCACCTGAAAACTGTCAATCATATACATGTAGGTCACCATTTCGTGAAATCTAACAGGAATACATTTTATCAAAGAGCAATATTTAATTTAACCATATTTTTAAAATCTGCATTACAATTTAAATATTTGTAAAATCACAGTTTTAGCATAATGATAAATGATAACTCCAGCCTTTACGAATAAAATACAACATGAAGTAAAATTGTCTTCCATGAACGTTTAGCCAGTTAATTATTTTGTGAAAACACTTATTTTGAGTAAAACAAACTACTGTTATTTTCTTCACGTGAGCACCATATTTACAATGTTATGTACACTTTATACACCAATACTATATTACACGGAACTATAATATTATACAATACGTTACCTAATGTTATATGGGCCTAAAACAATTACTTTTAGGCTGTACACAGACTAGATCACACAATTACTTACACTGTTGGCAATGTGGCCTACTATATTAAAGATCAAATAAAGACTTGGTATTTCATTTTCTTTCAGTTTCAAACTCTCTTGGCTTGTATATTTCCAATCGTTTTAATGAATGATAAAAGTATTTAATATACAGGGTGTCCCGAAAGTATGCCCCCCCCCCTAGGCAGACATATACCAGTGTTGTCATAGTATGTGTCATATATCATTTTAAAGCTTATCCAAAGTTACATTGATTCGCCAAGTATCATGGTTCAACTCTCAAATGTTAAAAAATTACAGGCATTTCAAATTTAGTGTTTGGTCAAAATTAAGTTCAATTTTACACCAAATCACTGGTCAATGTGTCCTCCCAGGCCATCTTAACAGCAGCAATTCTTTTCGGGTCGGATGGATATTGAGTTGGAAAAAGAGAATGGTGAGGGTAGAAACTCTAAGGAAACTCTTCTAAAGTGCCTTGACAGGTTTTAAGGGGGTTATGAAATTCCACATCCCTTTTTGAAGGGCTTTTAAGGTCATATTTGAAAATAATTGCTGCTGTTAGCATAGCCAAGGGGGGTCTCATACACTAGTAGTGTGGTGTAAAATTGAACTTTATTTTGACAAAATTCTAACTTTTAAAATGACTGTAACTTTTTCCCATTTGGGAGTTAAACCATAATACTTGGCAAATCAATGTAACTTTGGATAAGCTTTAAAATGATATATGATACATACTATGAGGACACTGGAATATGTCTGCCTAGGGGGGCCCCCATACTTTCGGGACACCCTGTAGAATTGCAAAGTGTCATTAAAATCGTGCTTTCAAAACAACTAATTAGAAGTCAACATTATTTTTCATGTAAATACACACTGCTACATCTAAAACGTTTATGATATTTTAGAAAAGCATTAAAAATCCACGACTAGTTTTTTAGTAAAAAATCGTTATATAGATGTCTCGTCGGTGAGAACACACGGTATGCTACGCCTCGCATGGTCGCTGCGCTTGGACAGCCTTTGGAATAGTTTCAGAGTCTTTTATGGGCAGTGTTATTGTCCTATTGCCAGTATTGGTGTTCTGAAGATCTAGATCAGCATACAAAACTGGTCCTTTTAATGCTGCGTGGCGTGGAGATCCACCACAACTCCGGCACGAATTAATCGTATCTGTATTTCCGGGTGTATTCATCGCTACTTTAGCGTCAGTATGTAAACGGATTTGTTCCGCATTTAGAATGTCTGTGTAACCCTCGGAAAGTGGGGTTTCAGCCTCAGCGTCTCGCGCATCTCGGCCTCTCGTTGGCCGAGTGCGTTTGATCCTCCGTAGGACGTATACTATGAATACTATTAGCACTATGATTAAAAGAATAAGAATTGTGAGTCCACCGGCTAAGACTCCAGTTTGGACGTTACCTTGGAGTCCAGATTGGACACCAGAATCCGGTGAAGTATCTTGAATTTGTAGAATCAAACTCGCCTTCGCTGGCATATTTTTTTCGTTTAAATCGTTCGAAGCTTTACATATGTACACGCCACTATGATGGGGTTCTAATTCTCCTAGTGTTAATACCTGTTTATGTGATACAAACTTGAGTGTCTTTTTGCCGATGTCTTCTTGATAGAACCAAGAGTACTCCGCAGGGGGGTTGGCTTGTGATTTACATGATATCGTTACAACCGCTCCTGAATTTAACAACATGACTCTACCCGTTACGATCTGGGATTTTATTATCAGTACTGGCTTTCTCGCGGCGAATGTAACTCTTACGAGGGTGGAACAATGATCGCGGATGCCCAGTAACTCGTACCCGCATTTCACTTGTTTGTTATTCAAGTCGACATTAGTGGTGATGTTGAGACTAGAACTGGAGTTATTTCCGACTACCTCCACCTTAGTTGGACTAACAGCATCGTTGCCTATCCTCCATTTGAACTTAGGGATCTGACGCTGGTCTCTATTTCCCATGAACTCCACAGTGCAATTAAACGAGATGACTTCGCCTTCTCCAGCTCGCAGCACTGCTGGTGGACATTTGATGGGATCCATAACAACCAGATGCGGTTGTATTTGCCCGATGGGCCTCCCGGTAAATGCATCATTACATCTGTATTTTCCCCCGTCATTGCGATCTACATTATTTATAATCAAACTGAAATTTTCATTTGGGTCTATTTTATAACGCCCATTGGGCATCGTTTCAACTATTTTATTATTTGCTGAGATCTGTTCTCCAAATACGTGTGGTCTCGGAGCATATCCGGTCCACAAAACAAAATATTTTTGATCTTTATTAGTGGTATTGACATGACAATCCATATGTACGTTTGATCCGGCAATTGCAGCTTTGTCTGAAGGGGGTTTGATGACTTGTAATCCTAAGCACGTTATCTGGACACTGGCGCAGACGACCAAGAGCCTCGTTATGAAATATTTGCAAATGTCAGCCATTTTGTTCAATCAAAATTCATCTACGTTGATAAAGTTGATTGGACATTTAAGTTAAGTTACTGATATGAAAGAACCTAATCCTAGCAATCTTAAATATAGTTCTCCTTTTGATACTTCATAATCCAGTTGTCGATTGAGTTTTCTAATATTCATTGAGAGTTAATCTTCGGTATTGAACGTGAGATTTATGCTCCGTTGGATCTTAATTAAGGAACAATCTTGGATATATCAACAATCCTATGCTGTATGTATTGATTTACTGCCCCGTTGGTGTTGTTCAAAGGACACTATTTCTTAAAGGATTCAAGCTTTTATTTTCTTCTAGCCATCTTATCTTGACGAACCAATACTTAATCCCATCGGAATTTATACAGGATCAAAATCTTAGATTTCTACGATATCGATATCAATTTAATTGGTGCAGTTATAAGACATTACGGAATTAAAATCAACTTTTTTCGGAAGCTGACACAAATTTCGTCGTAATCGTTCTTATTTTACCCGATCTGTGCTGTCGTTTGTGGTGTCACACAGAGACTTACATGTAGTGTCACCAGACTTAAACTCTAAACGATTGAATCAAAATATATAATTGTTTGTATTTTTGACGTAGCTCCTTTAACAGTGTTTCTGGTGCTTTCGCTAAATCCGATCCAGACCCTTGTAATTTCCCTAATGATATCAATTGGCACTCTATGTTCTTAAATCTACGTCTTATCGATTCACTTGCGTTTGTTCTCTACGTAAATGCCTAACTTATAGAATAATGTGTCTCTTGATATTATACCAGAGAAATTCTATTTCACGATTTAATTTTTCCTTATCCTCAGTTTATTAACTCGAATTACACGTTTCCTAAATTCCAATCGGGTTTTATTAGACGTAGCATATATCCATAGACTATCAAATGGATTTTATATTGTTGGTTGGTTAAAGGCGAAACTCAATGATTAGCAGCCTTGGCTATTGTATGTTGTAATATCCACGAGATTATTCAATGAATCAGAATTGACGTTTTTTCGGCGTTCGGTGTTTCACTGCCAATTGTGACAATCCCTGGGTGGCCCTCTATCAAGACCCGACAATCCAAATTCTGACAACGATCGTTTAATGACAAGTCATTGGCATTTTCCAACTGGTGAATTATGGTTCTCATATGATATCCCGACTGCACTTCGTTTCTCTTTTTAATCAGACTTTCAAGGTACGTTACGTTTATGACTAAACGAACGAACGGATTAGATAACAAACGTCACATAGGGTTATGATTATCCTCCTTGCAATAGTTCAAGCCGCTTCGTATGACTATACTACTAAACTCTCGGTCTCGGATCAAATAACTGATCTGTTTTACTTGTAGTAATTACTAAAGTGGTCCATCGGCTCTTCTTCCGACAATTAGTGACGATTTATATCTTTCAAAGTACCTTACAGATATGACTCAACGAATTCTAAACCAGATTCCCTACATAACATCCAACGATGATACGTTTTGATTATTTCAATTCCCAAAGTAGTTCTGCAACACTTGCGCTGTCAATCCACAATCAAATCATATCCAACTAGATATTTATTCCTTCTAGATAGTTCACATCTAAATCTTGTCAATCTGCCGTCGCGTTATCTCCAATTAAATCCAAGTGATGGACGGCGTTGTTTGACAGATCTCGTAATGTGTTTTGACATATCACCCACAGTCTTTATGCTGAAAGTAAACACAAAGAAAATAAATGTTATTATTCCAAACAGATATCGTGTTTTCTTGCTTCCAATGCAAAATACACCAACTAATAATCGACGCAAATATTTATAATCCTATCCAGCCTGTTAGCTTGCCGAGCGACTGAGTGAGCTCAACTTAGAGCTGCGCTATCGTTATCTCGTTATTTAATAGCGTATCTAATCCAACGTTTTTATCGATATAAAGATGTGTGTTCTAGTCGGTTTGAAGATCCGCTTATCTTTAACTCAAAACGATATGCTATAATTGAGTTAATACTTAGTATATAGCGTGTCATAACAAACTTACAATTTTTGATGTATATGTACAGCCTATGTATTTATTTTGAGTAATATCTAATTAATCATGCTGTCATACTCTATTCATTTTTTATCTTGACTTTTTTAATTTTTTATCCATAGTAATTACAATAGACTTAATATGAAACAGTCGACAGTAGGCTAAAATGTTTCGTATCTTAATGTTGTATCTGAAATTAACGATTTAACCACATTCTAAGGGTACATATTTTCAAAAAGATTAGAAAGTATGTCTATAGTCACACGTGCCTAATTAAAACTTACTTATCTAAAATATATTGATGTTAAGATTTATTTATCGCGGTAATAATAATTGTGGAGTTAGTGTTGCCAAAGATCTGGAGGGGAGTGTAACTCCTACTTTCAATTTCCTTATGTTTTAATACTTGATATTATGATTGTGGAAGCAGATACTAAATGCAATACACGACATGCTTAAAAATGCCTCAGGACGAAAACAATACCTTTGATCTGTTGCTCCTAGAGATCGTATGTATCTATATGATGATATACTTAGACGACATTATTGAAAGTTCCCTTTTATCTCAGATGCGACATTTCCGATGTTTGGTAGCCTGATATTGTCCCCACCTGAGGCCCCCAATCGGGGTGTACTTGCATTTGGAATTTCATGTTTGGCTTAAGTTGAGCAAAGTAAGGCGACCTAAGGACATGCTTGAGTATGGAAGACCGAGTGACAATAATGTAACTATGACAATAATTGTTCATTAGCTCTGACGTCATAATTGTAGCCATGGTTACAACAATGAGCTTAATTATAAATAATGTACAAGCATGCAACTAAGAAAGATTCATAATGCAAATCAGAGAATTCATCTAACCGGGCCCTCCTTAATCACGCCTAACCATCGACAAGGTACAGTCACGTGACAGTGACAAAATATGCCGTAGTACACTTTTGATGTACTATGTCATTTCCGCCATTTTATATCGCCATTTTCTAGAATGAGGAAGCGAGGTAAGAACTAGCATTGATTTGATCAATATTGTGTCAGTTCATCATCAGGCAGTTGTTGCATTCGATTTGTAATTAAGTTGCAAATATGCATATCTATTTCAAATGATCCTCAGCAACTTCAATATCTTGTTATAGATCTACCCAGTACGTCAGGGATCTCTAAATCTTGACTGAATTTCGCAAAATTCTCTCTAATTTTTGTTTTGCTATGCAAATAACAGCCAAACTACGACTAACACAACTTAAGATAAGTATACAAATATACATCCAGAGTTAATGCAAAACCGCTTTTTACTTTGGATGCTACTACGAAAAACAGATAATGTATGTTGTCAACTCGAATGTATGTTGTCACATTGGCCTTACAGATCTCAATTCACAGTTAATTTTACATGAATGAAATGCTATAATGTACGTGTAATAGAAGGAACATATTTGATAATAAAGTAATAATTTATAATAATAGGGCTGGCATATCGAAAAATTTACTCTAATATTTTGTCCGTTAATCAATAAAATTGTCATTGATATGATTAAATTTCAATGTTACTAATAATTTTTTAGTATTCCATAACCCTGGCTTTTGAACTTCTGCACTTTCCCCCCTAGGCAGACATATACCAATTTCTCCATAGTATGTGTCATATATCATATTTAAGCTTATCCAAAGTTACATTGATTTGCCAAATATGATGGTTCAAATGGTAAAAAGTAACAGGCATTTCAAAAATTAGCGTTTTGCCAAAAAGTCCATTTCAGTATCCTGGAAACAGCCCTGACCTGAATGTGACAGAAAATATGGATGCTATTCTCGAAGATAATATATGGATATCGAGTTCTAAAAAGATGACGTTTAGGGTAGATACTCCAAGGAAACTCTTCTTATGCCTTAAAAAGGTTTTATGAAGATTACAAAACGCCATATCCCTATTTGAAGCCAGTTTAAGATCATATATGGAAAGTATTGCTGCTGTTAACATGGCGGCTAAGGAGACACACCGACTATTGTTTTGGTGTAAAACTGACTTTAATTTTGTCCAAACACTAACTTTTGAAATTCCTGTAACTTTTTCCATTTGTGAGTTGAACCATGATACTCGGCAAATTAATGTAACTTTGGATGAGCTTTAAAATGATATACGACACATACATGGAGACATTGGTATATGTCTGCCTATGGTGGCCCATAATTTCGGGACACCCTGTAGCATAAAGTCATCTTGGATTAGCTAGTAAAGATCTCTCCATGAACTCCTTAAGATTATTAAAATTCATAAAAGTGCAACTAAACATAACGTAACGTACCGACGTCGAGTGGTTAAAGAGGTCGGAAGAAAACACGCCGTGGTCACATATTAGTCACCATATTAATACTTTCATAAAATAAAATAGCATTCAACGAAAAAATCACTTTTACCTGTTTATCTGTACTAGGGATACAGGAGCATGTTCGTTGAACATCACTTGTAACGCATAAAACCCTTAATGCATTTTGAAATTAAATCATTGCAATGTTTAATATTATAACTCATGTATTTCAATTACAGGGACAACATACACTGTGAGTTGACAACGTACATTTCTGATTTTTTAAATTATATCAAATGCATGAATGTTTATTAAATGTTCACCTGTCCTAAACTGTGTAGTTTAGAGAAACACATTCTCATAAAAATATTCGACACTCTGAGACGTCAGGGGAGAAAATTATCAAAGGAAATGTGTAAAAAACAACATTTTTCCAACCGAAGAATCGTATGGGTAGACTAACAACGAAAAAAATCGAGCACTGCTCGAAGATCTTTTAACGTTATTAGAAAAATAAATGTCTTTGAAATCGAATGCACGCGAAATCAAACATAAAATCTTTTGTGTTCTCCTAAAATTTATTTTTGAAAACCTGCATCGAACCTACATCATGGTCTTCGCTCAAAATCAGTTAATAGTGACATAGTACATCAAAAGTGTACTACGGCATATTTTGTCACCTGTCACGTGACTGTACCTTGTCGATGGTTAGGCGTGTTAATCGAAGAATAAAATTGGAAATTTGATCAATCATAGTCAGGCAAAGAATATAATTATGATTGTAAGAAACACATTGAAACGTTAACTTTTAAGCTATTTTCAATTTCTTCAACCTTTGTATCACCGATTCCACATATGATTGTAGAATTTTCAATTTGGTGCCCTTTAAGTTCCGAAAGATAGGGACTAGAAAGGCAAAGTCGATATGAGGAAATAGTGGCTAATGAGTCGCATAT